TTCTTTTCATTTAAACATCTTGGCAATTTCCTTACATAGGCGTATAGACAGATTTTCCTTTTTATGTAATAATCTCACTGTTAGGCTAGACCGTACTTCACTCAATCACTCATCTTTTAGATGTTTGCAGTGTTGTGCTATTTCTGCCCATGTAACATTAAACTCATCTCTGGTAGTGCATTTTGGGAGTGAGGGTGGGCTGGGGAATGCGATAGACCTCTAATTAAAATGTCTTAACTTGTCTCTGTTGGAAAATGTTTTTTAATGTCTCTTGATCCACATTTTTCTATTTTGAATACAGAATTTCTTTAACTTGGGTATTAATAGTTGAGAGCTATTTATTAGTAACCCAGTTTTCTTGAGTTCTGTTTATGTTCTAGTTTTTAAATAATTTCTCAGTTCCTTTGGCCAATGTGTGTATTATTTGTGCATTCACTGTCCTTGCCTGATCTTGCAGTCTGTCTTCTTTTTTCTGCGCGGATTAACATAAAATCATTACTCAAACTTGACTCCTATGAGGTGCTTGGTATCAGTATGAGCAGGAAGCTTAATTTAATATGAGAATAGATGTGAATTAAAATTTTAAAGTAGATGAATAACAACCATTCTATCGAAAAGTTACTGGAATGGAAATGTGAAGGAAATAGCTAATAACTTATGTTTTAGAATCTTGTGTGTATAACACACTTCATGGCATTCCCGTAGGCTTTACTGTCTGGTTTTGTAGTGTGAAATGTCTCTTGATTCCCCTGCTCAGTGGGGAGTCTGCTTCTCTCTCTCCTGCTGCCCCTCTCCCCCATGCTCTCTCTCTCTTTCTCCCCTTCTCTCTCAAATAAATAAAATCTTTAAAAAAAAACCCACACAGTACATATTTCTGTTTGTTCAAGTTTTTTCGTGTGTTCTTCAGGAGTGTTTTACAGTTTTATTCATATAAGTACAGCTAAAAATTTATTCTTAAGTATATTTTTCTTTTGTTTTATAACTTTGGCAAGTGGAATCTTTTTTTCCATGTATTTTCAAACTCTTTATATAACCATATGAAAGCTACTGACTTTGATTACCTGTATTTCTTGCCAAGCTATTCTTTTTTTTTTTTTAATTTATTTATTTGACAGAGAGAGACACAGCAAGAGAGGGAATACGAGCAGGGGGAGTGGGAGAGGGAGAAGCAGGCTTCCCGCCGAGCAGGGAGCCCAATGTGGGGCTCGATCCCAGGACCCTGGGGTCATGACCTGAGCCAAAGGCAGACACTTAACGACTGAGCCACCCAGGTGCCCTTGCCAAGCTATTCTTGTTTGCAGTAATTTTAGTTGGTAGTCTTGAGGGTTCCAGGTACATAGTCATATTGTATCAATTAGCTCTGATGCAAAACATAGTGGTTCAAAAACAATACACATTTATTATTGATCATGAGTTTGTGGGGGCTGAGAGGTTCTTCTGACCTTGGCTCATTCACGAAGTCAGCTGTGATAGACAGTTTTGATCTTGACCAGGCTCTTCCAGTGTGGGCCTTGCCTGGAGGTAGGCTGATCTAGGATGGCCTTGGCTGAGACAACTGGGCTCTCCTCACATGTCTCTTACTTTATACCTTCTGTCCACATGGCAAACTAGCCTAGGCATGTTCTTAGATTAGCTCAAGCATATGTCTGTGGGATTGCAGAGGAGTAAGAGAGGACGGGAAATGTATAAGTACTTTTCTAAGCCTTTGCTTTCCTCAAATCTACCAGTATCTTAATGACCAAAGCAAATCATGTTGCCAAACCCAGATTCAAGCAGTGGGGAGGTATACTCTGCCTCTTTATGAGAATTGCAGGGTCAAAGGGCAGGGATCAGGGGAGGTCTAGCATAGGGGCCATTAATACAATCAATGAAACACATGGATCATCTGTATGTAGTTCTCCCTGTTTCTTTCCAATTTCAGTTTCTCTAATTGCTTTCCCTTGTCGAATTGCATTGGCTAATACCACCAGAGCAATGTTGAACAACCACCTCTTGTGATTTTTTTCAGAGCCAGATTTTAGATTTATTACTTATACTTTTTCTGTTTTGATTTTCTACTTTTCTTGTGATAATTTATTTTTTTCTCCTTTCTTTTTTTTTCTAGCTTTAGTCAGCTGCTTAGCAGTTAATGTTAATACCCTACCCTGATTCCTCTACCAAACCTGTACACTCATCTCCTAGCTGCTGTCAGTGTTGACTGGTACCAACTCACAACTGAACTTCCTTGGAATTGTCCTTGATGTATGTGAGTTACCTTCCCAGGAAATGGCTGAGGTTATGCTTTCTGCCCATGACTGAAGGACAGGATGGGACCACTCCACGGTGCCATTTATACTCCAGGGTGTCCCACTGAATCAGGCTAAGGCTAGACTTCAGCTGAGCCCACATTTTGCAAGCTCCCCAGCACCCTGTGTGCTCTGAAGACCTCCTGCACTCACTGATGCCCAGAACCCTACTGCATACCCACATTGTCAGTTGCCAGTGGCTTGCTCTTTTTCTCCATTTTTCTTATATGATCACTGTATCAATTCTATGCTAGTATCTTTTTATTACTTATAATTGGATGATTTGGATATAATTGAATGATTTCTGGTCTGGCTTTTCTAAGAGGTTTCAGGGTTGGGGAGCAGGAGAAGCTGAGACAGGGGTCCAGGATAGTCCCTTTTCACAACATAAGAACTTTTCCCTTCCCTGCTGTGGCAGAGATAGACTGCTTCTTTCAAACATGGCCTGTCCATGTGACTGCATGTTGCCCTGACCCTGAACTTAGCTCAGGGGCCAGCGAACCTTCTTATCTGCTTGCTTGTTGCCTTTCCTGTCTTGCTGTTCTAGATCAGAGCTACAAATTTTACCTCTCTATGTGTACAGCTTACATTTATTTAGAAAGTGAATTTTTACCTGCATTTTTCAGAGTTGCCACCGTTTGGCCCTTGTGCTGTGTGAGATCTCTTTCTGTGGTTACTTGCGTTGTGTTACTTGCTACTTCCTCCTGCCCAAATCCTGCATCAACTCAGACACATTTTACTTCTATGTTAGTATCTGGAGAGTTTTCCGGACTCCTAGTTTCATTGACAATAGAATGTTTATGTTCTTTCTTTTTTTTTTTTTTTTAAGACTTATTTATTTATTTGAGAGAGAAAGAGAGCACACAGAGGGAGAGGGAGAAGCAGACTCTCTGCTGAGCAGGGAGCCCAATGCGGGGTTTGATCCCAGGACCCTGGGATCATGACCTGAGCCAAAGGCAGACGCTTAATGACTGAGCCACCCAGGCACTCCAGAATGTTTATTTTCTGTTCTCCTTAGGAAAAATGTTGATTTTATGCAGTAATGCTTATACTGAAATCTCTACTAGTTGCTCTGAGATCAGGTCTACTAGCTGACTCAAAAAAAAAACAAAAAAAGCAAGATTCTTCTGTTAGGGGGTTTCTGTGTCCTTTCTTTTTTGGGGGGTGGGGGTGGGTTTTTTTTTTTTTTTTACATTCCATGATGAATGGTGGGTCCCCTTGGATTTTTTGTTACCTGCCAACTGAATGGATGAGAGAAAGCCAAGATGGTCTAATTGGTTCTTGTTTGGTCTGGGGCAATTGGCCAGCAGGTTATTTAGGAAAAATGTTTAAATGTGAGACACTGGTGGTCCTGAGGGGCTACACAGTTCAAGACTTGGACCCTACACCCATGCAGTTTGTATTTCTTATTGGGAATGAACTTTACATAGGGATAGTGTATGTGGTTGGCGTGCTTTTTCGGATATACCAGAGAACACAGTCTCCAGGATCTAGTCATGAAACTATAGGAAACAAAGAAATTTAAGCTCAACCATCATTTAATGTGGTGTACTGTGGCCAGGCCTTGGGTTGGTGCTGAGACTGTAAATATGGATCTAACACCATTCCTGCCCTTGAAGAGGAGGAGGAGGAGGAGGAGGAGGAGGAGGGATGAAGAAGCAAATGAAGGCAGATTAATAATATTGAGCACTTACTATATATATGCAAGCACTGGGATAAGCACTTGAGGTGACAGTCCTCTGAGTTATGTGCAATTATCAGTCCCATCTAGAGGACAGAGGTACTGGGAGGCCAGGTCACTTGATGTTGGTCACACAGTTAGTGACAGAGCCAGGTATCAAACCTGGGTGAGGTTTCTTCCAGGCTCAGGCTATGCTTTGCATTTAAGCATTTTCAGTGGCGATTGTAAACTCCCCTCCTGTGTCAGTTTAAGTTCACTGAGAAACAGACACCAAGATGGGACTAAATGAGCAAATGGCTTATGGGGTGGGGAGGAGCGGAGCACTTGAATCTGTGAAGGATGATGGGAAGGAGCTGGGGGAGGGGGGAAAAGCTTCGGAATGTGTGTAGGCAGGTCTGACTCTGTGAAATGAGAGAGCAGAAAGGGCACAGTGGGGTATTAAGAAAGCCTCAGTGGGCCAGTTGAGGGGGGGGCGCTGGGTCTCCTGGCATAAGTTGCCTACTGGGCAGTAATGGCCCTAATCAAGAAGCTTGCCCTACTCAATCACCAGCTGGGAGCAGCCCTAGAGGAAAGTCGCCTGGGGTGAGTGCCACAATTAATTCCAAGGTATGGCAGCTGGAGGTTGTTGGTGGGTTCTCTTGAGGGAAACTCTAAGTGACACTCCTTGTGGCCACTACAGTCCACCCCTTGTACCACATAGATCAGTCCTTCTCTCCCATCTTCCCAAATGCTATTCTTGAGTCACCTCAGAAACATGAAAATCTTTTGTCCCCGCAGAGAGGATATTGGAGTTCTGTTTTAAGGTCACCCTGTTAGGAAATCCCTTCCTTCTTTCCTTCTATTTTGACCCCGCTGTATTGAACACAGGGTCTGCGTTACACACACAGTAAGCCTTCTTTGACACACAGTATCAAACAAGAGCTGTAAAGAGATGTAACAAAGCTGTCTGTTCTATCAGATACCTTGGTCCAAAGGCTCTACTCAGAGTCACCAAATCAATGTTTTAACACCCATTTTATATTTCTTCTTCGCAGGTATGATTTAAGTCTGGATGAAATGAGAGCTTTGACCTTTCAGAGAGTGAAGTTTATCATGGGGCTACCTCTGTTAAAACGTGCGATTCAGGAACAGGTAAGTTTAAATGTTACTTTGCTGTGATGTATGTATGAGTGAGAGAGAGAGAGAAAGAAAAAGATTTTATTTTTGTTTTGTTTGTTTTTGTGACTTGTGGGAGCATGTTTATTTTGTCCCAGGGAAAACTGTCATCATTATGGGGGAATGCCTTCTTCAGCCCCTTTTTTCTGCCCCACTCCCTGATAACCTAATTGATCTTCTTCCCTTGGCCCACACATTCACATCTCCCAAGATCACAGGCTAGGGGGTAGGGGAATCAGCAGAAGTAATGCTATACATGTTCACAAAACAAATATAATTTGGGGCATAAAATTCAGATATCTGAGAAATGTAATGAACTAATTTTATAGGCTTTTAAAAAATGTAGGAGTCTTGTTTGAACACTGCCATTCTAAACTCAGTTAAATTATTTTAGTCAGTTTAGCCTCATTAAAAAGAAAGAAGGAAAGAAAGAATATGTGATTAGGGAACTCCTTCATGATGCGAACATTAGGAGCTATATATTTTAGCCACATTTAAATCGATTTCCGTTTCATTCAGCTTAATGGCTTCCTTAAACTGAACACTTTACATTAAACACAATGAAACAAAACAATTCCTGGTGAGAGCCCTAGGAGAGGGGCTTGAACTGGGGAGAAGCTTCAGCTTGTAGATGGCTGAGGAGTGGAGCTTGGCCCTCTTCTTGCCCAGCACAGTCTGTGGAGGAGGAGTCTGAGGACTGAGGGGGTGGGGGTCTTCCCCATTCAGGGGGCCACTGAAGGCTTAGTTCTCTGTGGAATGTAGATCAGCGCCAGTGGGGGGCCTGAGGTCCATGTTCAAGAATAGATCCTTACCCTGTCACCCCTCCTTTGGTTGGCTGTCCCAAGGAGGCAAGGAGGGACCTCAGCATCTTCTTGTCAAAAGGCAGAGCTCTGGTCCCTCCTGTTGAAGTACTGCAGCCACCTCCAAGGTGACAAGGGCACACTTAGATGGAGAGGAAGGAAGGAAAATACCCACATCATGTAGGGAAGGGTACTTACCAAGCCTGAAGAATCATTTCATACCAAGCAGTTTGGCAAAGTGGATTTCAAGCCAGTAAACTGCCTCTCAATGGAGCAAACATTTTGAGCTGTGAATACAACCAATAAAGAAAAAAAAAACCCTCAAAAGACCCCAACCCTCTTTGGTTTTAGCCACTTTATGAGAGTCTGGCCTCCAGTACATCTGGCATGGGGCTTGTTGGAAGGTGAAATCTTGACATGTGGTCAGTCTCCTGGTCTCTTAATCAGTCCAGTATGTCCTGTGGCTTAACTTAGTGTCAATATTCAAGACCCGGATGAGGGTTGATCCTTTAGTGAAGTTTACTAATTGCTGCTTATCCCCCTGAGTCTGAAGGATTAGCCTGTGTAATCTTGCTCCTGATGAAGCTGTTGGTCCCTGGATCCAATTATCTTCCTGTATTTGTGGCTCCCTTCGCAGTCTTCGGCAGCCCGGACGACCCCGTCCTGGGTGATTAGGTATAGTTCCTGCAGCAGTCACAGGATTGGCCCTAGACAATCCCTCCAGTTCATTTCTATGAGTTACTTCAGCCTATCTGGCGCTTCTCTCTGTGTGAATTCACAAAAGCCAATGAACCTGAAGGAAATTAAACGAGTCGGTCGTCAGTGTGGCCGGCTCATCTCTTCGGGTGGATGTCGTGAAACTCAGCAGCACATCTGTGTTTGAAGGCTCTCAAATTCCACCCTGTAAACAGCTGGAGAGGCTGTCCACATCCAGTAATTCTAGAAGAAGTGTTACATGATTCATTCTGCCTCTTAATAAAAATATTGAGTCATGGCTGTACTGCCTGCTCAGAGAGCGTTCCAGGTCTTTCCATCCTTCCCTGGCCCCCATTTCGTGTTGCTGTTAGCTTTTGTGGATGATCCAGTGAACTCCAAGGCAGAACGCTCCGTGTAATGTGTAATGATGATGTTCTCGAGGACAAATGAGGAGTGAGCCTCATTCGTTCCAGGTCTCTATGGACAGTCCACGGGCCAAGAATAAGCCATTAAAATATTTCCACTCTGCGTTTTCCCCTCCGCCATCTGCAATAGATTTGAGATGTTCTAACAATTTCAAAAGGAAAAAAACAATATCTGAGTCTGATTACAGAGTATACACACATGTGTGTGCACGCACACACACAGTGTGAATAACATCATTGCATCTCACAGACTTTTTCTGCACCTGTTTCCAGTGATACCACATTTGTGCCCTTCAGGCAACTGTCCCTTCTTCCCTTGCGGAAATCCTGCAGGGGGGTGGGGGAAGTCACCGTATTTCCAGAGATGGGGAGACAGAGGACCCAGGTGGGAGATCTACTCTATGGCAGCGCTGAGACTGGAGCTGACAGAGGCTGACCCCCTGCACCCAAATCAACCATAACCAATGATAACAGCTCAGACTTACGGAGTACCTATCTTAGGCCAGTCACAGCGCTAATGGATGATCTCATTTAATATCCACAACATCCAGAATGGTATTCCCATTTACAGATGGGTAAATTGAAGACCGGTAATTGGCCTGGGGCTATACAGCTAGTGGAACACAGATTTAAACCCAGCTGGTCCTGCTGAGTCCACTTCAGTCTGGTGGTTCTTGCCCCTGGCTGCACACTGGAATTCCCTAGGGAATTTTCCAAACTCCTGCTGTCTGGGCTTTGGCTCAGGCCAATCAAATCAGCATTTAAATTTTCCAGGTGATTCAGTGTGTGTCCTTTCTTGGCTTGAATACTGCTCTCCATTATCCCTCTTTCCTGGTATTCTGTACTCTCTACCCTGAATTGTTCCCATTCAGCATTTGGTCTCTGGCAATCATGGTTCTGGGCTGACTTATAGGAATGCTCCATCCCAACATTTGCTTTCCCCAGGAGGAAGACAGTTGGGATCAGGATGTTCCTGGCCAACAGGACTGAGGAGTGGGGGCAGATATTTGAATAGTGAAGCACCCATTGTATAACTGATGCTCACCCACCCCTCCCCATCATCTTCTCTCTCACTCTGAACCCTGCTTGTTCCCATCCCCATGATCCACAGCAGTGCTGGGCATGGCAGCATCATTATTATCTAAACCAGTGGTTCTCAAGGTATGGTCTGAGGACCCCTGGGGGTACCCAAGACCCATTCAGGTACTACCTGAAAAGTAGGTGTCCAACTATGTGTGCATGACACCAGATTTTCATCATGAACTTCAACCAAAACAACATATGGTAACAGATGGAGTGTGGAAGCGGATGTGAGAGTCTAGCTGTCTTTCATTAAGCCAGATGCTACAATAACTTGTAAAATATAAAACAGTGTCATTCTTCTCACTTATTTTTTTGGGGGTTTGGAAATTATGGTTTATTTTTCATAAGAATTATGTTATTTACATGTAATCGGTATAGTATTGTTATTTTTAACATAAAATTTAAAAAATTCTCAGTTTTAATTTCTAGTGTGGTAATTTTTTTTTTTTTTAAGATTTTGTTTATTTATTTGACAGAGAGAGACACAGTGAGAGAGGGAACACAAGCAGGGGGAGTGGGAGAGGGAGAAGCAGGCTTCCTGTGGAGCAGGGAGCCCGATGTGGGACTTGATCCCAGGACCCTGGGATCATGACCTGAGCTGAAGGCAGACGCTTAATGACTGAACCACCCAGGCGCCCCTCTAGTGTGGTAAATTATGGACATAGCCTGCATAAACAAAAGCTCTTTGGAATCTTTGACAATTTTTAAGAATGTAAGCAGGTCCAGAGACCATAAAATTTGAGAACCACTGATCTAAATCATCCACTGTTTTTTCTCAGAAAGTCCACTCTCAGATCAGCTTGAAAGGGAACTGGCAGGAGACTTATGTTTATTATACTATGGCTTTCCATTTATATTATATTTATTATAATATAATTATTATTTCAATCAGAATTTTAGTCTCAGTTTGGGATGGTTTTTGTTTTTGTATTTAAAGAAATACCAGGTGGATGATCATATCTAAAATGGAATAAGATTCTGAGGTCAGCTCACCTTAGAAGGCATTTGGGAATGCGGAGAATGGTTGCATTCCTAATTAACCCCTAAAAAAAGGAGCAGCCTTTCCCAGGAAGTTACATGGAGGCCACGGGTGTGTTGTGGAGAAGGAGCTCAGTAGAGAATATGCCAAGAAGGTGAGGATGTCTCCTCTGCCACTAGCCCTTTACACCAGCCCATCCCGCCCAGGCCTGCTCTGCTGCCCACACAAACCAGTGCCAGCCCTGATTGGTCCTGCAGACCATGACCAAGTACACCTCCCCCGCCCCATCTCAGTACTGGCTCCTGACCTACTTTGAGCTCTTGGCTCTAAAACCCTAGCCTTGGCTCTGCCCTTGGCCCTCTGGCTTCTGTTTGTACTGGAACCCAGGCTTTTCCTAGTGGGTTGTGACAGGCTGCCCCTGGCTCTCAGTCTTGTGTGCTGCCTTTGGCAGGAGTCCCTGTCCCGGCTCCAGCTCTATGGACTTGGACCCTGGCCACTTGGCCAGCCCTGGCCACAAGGGATGCCGTGGAGGATTTGAGCAGAGATGACAGGACAGAGTGGCCTGTTTACAGAAGTTCCTCTATGTAGATTGGCAGCTAATGGCCACAGGAAATACTTGAAAGAGCGTGCCAGGGAGTGAGTTGGGATCCACGCAGGGACGGACTCTAGGGTAGCCGGAATCCTGGTGTTCTTTATTTCCTGCACTGTGAACAATTTGGTTTAATGAAGACTTCTTATTTTGAGACTTAGTTATTATTCTTACAGTGAAATATTAGGTTAAAAATAACAATAATTATTTCTTGCTATAATTTGCTAAGTCCCTTCTATGTGCCAGGTGAGGCGATTCATTCATTTTACAACCATTTACTGAACACCTATGATAAGCCAGGCATTGTTCAAGAGGCAATGAACAAAGCAGGCAAAACATACCTGTTTTTATGGAGCTTCTAGTCTGGGAGGGGGCAGACAATAAAATAATGAACAAGTAAATTT